CCTCCTCCTCCTCCTCCTCCTCCTCCTCCACCTCTTCACCCCCCCAACTCGCCGGTGCCACCGCGCAGGCGCCGGCCGGGCTCGCGGGCGGCGGGCGGTGCGCAAGCGCTTCGGCGAGCCGGAGAGCGGCGCAGGCGCACGGTAGGGGCGCGCATCGTGGGGGCGATGGCGCATGCGCGCGCCCCGCCATGATTGTCGGGGACCGCGGGGGAAGTGGGAGGGAGTGAGGAGGGATTTCGACGCAGGCGCAGTGAGCTGTCTCCTGGCCCGCTGGACAGCGGCCGTCTGGCTGTTGGGCAACGTCTGCTGACTGGCTGGGGCGCTGGATCCCCCAAGAGGGAGACAGCCGGACTCCAACTCTTCCAATTCACAAGGATGGGGCCAGCATACCCCAAAGAGGGAGCGCCCTGGGCTCGGGCCAGTTCAACTCTGAGACCAGGTTAGGACGTTGCTGATTCGTGCATTCATTCTCTCAAAGGGTATTTATTGAGAGCCTAATATGTACCAGGCAGACGTGGTCCCTGCCCTCAAGGGGTGCACAGCTGGGGAGGGTCAGTTGTAACCCGCCAACAGATGACCCAAGAACGTTTCAAATGGAGATAAATGTGATGTGGAAAATAATTCAGTGATGGCGTGGGGGTTGGGGGGGGATGGGTGAAAAAGTGAACGGAATTAAATACAAATTGCCAGTTATAAAATAGTCACGGGGATGTAAAGAACAAATTGGGAATATAGTCAATAATATTGTAATAACTATATGGTGTCAAATATAAGTACTAGACTTACCGGGTGATCACTTCATAAGGGCTATAAATGTCTAATCACTATGTTGTACACCCAACCTAATATAATTGTATGTCAAATATAATTGAAAAATAAATTTAAAAAAAATTCAGATGGGCCGAGAGGAGAGTGATGTCAGGGAGGGAGGCTACCACTGCCACCACCATGTGAAGGGGGTGCATTTATTTGAGCTGAAGCCTAACCCTTATGAGCAGGTCCCAGCTCAAAACCTGGGCATCATCCTTAGTACCTTTCTTTCCTTATCACCTCACATTGTACCAGTTCCTATTCTCTGTATCTCAAGCCCAGAGAAACAGAACTACAGAGCTTCAGACTCCTCTGCAAATTTCTCCAGTTTAATCTTGCTTAAGGATACCAGGTTTGCCATGGGGTGCTAAAGGAAAGATCCAGAAATCCCACTCAGATCCAGCAGTGAATGGGATAGTAGTCTCCCGATGACTCCCCGGAGAGGGGGAAGTTGGGGGGTGGAGTGACCCAGGGAAGCAAGAGGGGTTCTGACACTCAGCTGTACCTCCCTGGGCAGAGGGGCCCCAATCACCAATATCCAAGTATGCTCCAGCGATTCTAGGACAGAAGGGAGATTCTAGGGAGAAGCCAGGAGGGGCAGCCAGGGGGATGTGGGGCAACTGTAATTGCACAAAAAGCACACTTTTTACTAGGGCCAGGGATGGCTATGGGGGCAGGGGGGAACACCAGTGGAGAACATAGGGGAACACTAACATCTTCCAAATACATTTTTAGTCAACTTTCCAACAGTTTAATAAAATGTCCTTATTAAATGTATATATACATACATAGGTTTTATTTATTTATTTTAGATTTTTATTGGGGAAGGGAAACATTATGTTTTTCCAGGACCCATCAGCTCCAAGTCAAGTTGTTGTCCTTCAATCTTAGTTTTGGAGGGCACAAGCTCAGCTCCAGTCCAGTTGCTGCTTTCAGTCTAGTTGCAGGCAGTGCAGCCCACCATCCTGTGCGGGAGTCGAACTGGCATCCTTGTTAAGAGCACGTGCTCTAACCAACTGAGCCATCCAGCTGCCCCCGTCAGCAGCTCAGCTCAAGGCGCTGTATTCAATCTTAGTTGTGAGGGGCGGGGGCAGGGGGGGCACAGCCCACCATTCCATGCGAGAGTCGAACCAGCAACATTGTTGTTAAGAGCACATGCTCTCACCAGCTGAGCCATCTGGTTGCCCATTGGCTGCTCAGCGGCAGCTCAGCTCGGGTGCAGCTCACTGGCCCATGTGGGAATTGAGCCGGCAACCCTGTTGCTCAGAGCTCACGCTCTAACCAACTGAGCCACCCAGCTGGCCCCATACATAAATTTTAATTTGGAGTGTCCTGGGCATTTGGAGTATCTTGTCACTGCTCCATTTTATCCTTCTTGCTCATATGGTTTTGAGAACTTTCATGGATTTTAATGGTTTTGCCTAACAAGCATCTACCCCCCTTTTGGGTATCAACAACCAACTGCCCTTCAGGGAACACTCATTCCTACTTTCAATCCATGAGATGTGGTTCAAGTTGGTCTCACCACCCCCTCTCCCAATAAACACTTCTTCTTAAGTTGGAAGTCTTAGCCAATCAGCTGAGCACATTGCTGTGACCATCACGATTGGTCCAGGGAAGGCATGTGACCCAGTTTGTCCACTGAGATGCAATTCTGGAATCTTTGCTTGAACCATGGGAAAGGGAAACTGCTGTTTGCTTGGGCAGCTGATTTGAGGGATAACACAAGCATGCAGTGCCAGAGTTCACTACTTGAAGAGATATGGTCCGAAAGAGAGTGAACCCTCACAGAGGAAAACAGAGCCAAAGGTAGAGACACAGTCTCAGCTCCTGGATCCAGCCTTGCCTATAGATAGACACCCCTGCCTTTTCAGTTATAGGAGCCAATAATTTATTCTCTTTTTTATTGAAGTCGATTTGAAGCCCATTTTCTGTCCCTGGTACTGACAGTGACCACAGCTTTTGGAAGTCAGGTGCGGGGCTGGGCATTCCACAGAAGTGGCTTCTCATTCCTCCCACCATCCTGTGAGATTGGAGAGGAAATAGTGACAGAGAGCGTGGATGGCAGCTACCTATTACAAGTTAAGTGCTGGAACCAGGACTAGAACTCAGGCCTAACAGCAGAGCTCAGCTTCCTTCTCTGCATTGGGTTTTGTAAGGTTTAAATGACACTAACACAAAAGTCAAGTGCCTGGCTCATAAGTGCTCAAAAAATGCTGGTTATTCTGGTCACTTACATAAGCCTGCACTAAGCTGGTTTCCAGGCACAGAAAGAGGAGAAAAGATTTTGGGGGTAGTAGGGGTTATCAAGTCACAAAAAGGATCCATGCCCGCAGGGAAAAGGTGAGAGACCAATGCTCCCCCTATTCACCCCCATTCACCCCACATACCAGCAGTAACTTGATCCTCCTAAACCCTGGTGATGAGTCAGAGGAAGCCGTGAGCATGCTTATTGTGCAATGGCCAGTTCGTGACCCAAGCCCTCCTCCCACTCCACTGACCCCCAGTCCTGAGGGGGGTGAGGATGAGGTGTCTGGTAACCCGGGCAGAACCCAGCCCTGATGTTGTCACTTTCTATTCATCAAGAAAAGCTGCTGCCACCCAGCGTGGCCCTGTGCAGGACTTCTGGGAGCAGACCGTGGTCTTTGTAAACGGGGGTGAATCTCATGGTCCACATCGCACTTAGGAAAAAATCCACCCTCCTCCTGGTGGCCCATGAGGCCCTCACCCCCCCTTCCTCGCCCCTCCCTCCAGCCACTCTGGCCTCTTTGCTCTTCCACCTCCACATATTTGCAAATGCTGCTGCCTCTGCCCAATTGCTCTCCCTCCAGATCCTTTCATGAATGGCACCTTCTCACCTTTCAGGCCTCTCTTCTAAGAGACCCTCCCTGAGGGACCTATCTGAAGTGTGCCCCTGTGTGTGTCCAACAACCCGGGAACATCTCACTCTGAACAGCAGCTGTTTCTAGGGTCCTGTCTGCTCCCCCATAGACTAAGCTGAGATGAAAAACAAAGTATGATCACCCTTCCCAAACACTACGGGGTTAGATTTCCCTGTGTGATGCAGAAAGGACACAAACAGATGCAACTCCCTACTCTTAAGACTTGTTCTCTATTCCTTGAAGGCTCTGAGCACTTTAGGCCTCATTTTATACTAATCTGTTCATTCTGTTTTCCTGGGTCCCTAGAGCTAACATAAGACTAGGAACAGAAGGGGAATTAGGAAGTGTTTTGTTAAGTGAATAATTTTCTGCCTGGAAAACTCCTATTCATCCTTCAAAACCCACCTCAAATGTCCCCTCCTCTAGAAAGCCCATCCTGACCCTAAGGAGAGCTGTTTCTCACTGTAGGCTCACCTAGCCCTGGATTCTTCTTCAACCAGTCCTGATCTGAAAGGGCCAGGAGTATCCAATTGTTGAATAGTTTCACTTTAGTTACGAAGCACATCCAAGTGTAAGCTAAGAGGCAAGTCCTTATAAGCTATTTCCTGCTGCCTTCAGGATTTAGTTTTCTCTCCTCTGCTCCATAGATCTGTGTGGTTCCATTTGTTCCTTACCAGCTTCCCTAGCATTATCTCCTACCCTTCCCTGTCTCACTTCCTCCACTCCAGCCTTGATGCATCCTGCCTCAGGGCCTTTGCACAGGCTATCTCCCTGCCTAGAATGCCCTTTCCCCTGCGTCCAGGCCATAGCACTGGCTCAACATAAAGCTAAATACAAGCTAAGTTAAAACCTAAACTGCTGAGTGTTTCTGTCTGGCCCAGCCCTTGCAGACTTGCCAGCTGTATGACAACAGGAAAGTGACTTCACCTCTCTGAGCCTCACTGTCCTCCTGTGTTAAATGTGGACAGTGGTGTTCCTCATAGCAGGCTCTTGAGAAGATTAAATAGATAATGCATGTAAAGCACTTAGCTCAGCGCCTGCTTCCTCTCCAGCACTCAATAACTGTTAAGAAAGCAAACCCTACCTCGAGATGTGAGTTTTCATGCCTTGCTTTTCTGCACTGCCTTATATGGAATCTTAGTCAATCTGGGGTACCCACATCACATGGAGGTGAATTCAGGCCATCAGAGCGGGGAGGCAAGGAGGAAAGCCATCCAGGGTCCGTCTTTGACTTCCAAACCAGGCTCTCATCAGACAGAGTTTTGAAAGGCAAAGCAAGAGTCAGGTTTGATTATGATGAGAAAGGAGAGAACCCCATCAGAAGCCAGAAATGCCAGACGCAGTACTTACTCCTTATAGTTGAACAGGAAGAGGTCCCTGGGCCTCCTACCCTGGGCTGAGTATGGGGCAGAGGGTGCAACAGGGTGGGACTGCCAAGGAGAGTAGCAAGAGGCTGGAGCTGA